GCCGCCACATTTGGCGAATTTTAGTGATTTCTCGCCAAGGCATAGACATGCTCCTGTATTTTTCCGGCACAGCGTCGCTCTCAACAGACTATTCATAAAAGATACTAAAATTTCACTAAAATTATTTACATATATATAAAATTTGTAACAATACTATTTAAGCATTTAATATAAGGAATTAAACAAGCCTGCTACATATTTTAATTAAAATTAAACTAAGACGTCAATCACAGTCAAGTGGTGAGACACTGACTGGGATGAACCTCCACCACACCACATTTCAGCTATTTGAAGTTTTCTCCATACATAGGATAACTGCATATCAGTTCATATTACAAAACTTTCCAATACACATCATCATTCTTAAGTCAGTGAGCACTTAAGTGCCTTACCGTAAAAAACTGCCTACCTACGTAATGTATTCTCGAGATGAGTCCATAAGACTGAGAGTTATAAGTATAATAATAAAGATATTGCTCTTCAAAAACATGAAACTGATAGACAATTTTTCATTTGCTCTAATTACATAATTTTTTTTTTAAATCTGAAAGTTTTCATATTTTAAATTACGTCCAAAGGGCCGTTTTTTTAGCGTTTTATGTGTTACCTTTATTTATTAAATATCATTGTTCTTCGCAATTAAACCATAAATTTCAGTTCAATAGCAATGTCGCAAAATAGTTTTAAATTGAGCACATCATTAGAATTTCCGATACACAGTTCTGCGCGCTGGAAATAAAAAGGTCCCCCCCCGGTAGAGTGTTGCCATTGCTCGCTTTGAAATCGTTGAGTTTGTTACTCAAAAATTCGTTAAAGTTTTACAAAATATGAAACCGATCATAAAACAAATTCCAAATTTCAAATGTGGCCCATATTCATAGGAGGATTACGTCATTCAAAATTCGATGGCTCTATGTACCGTTGTTCACAATGCGAGAAATATACATACATTTATGGATATTTTTCATTATTTAATTTCTTCAAATATAATGCAAGACTAATTTGGTGGGAACAATTTGGAAAGTGAAACGGACATTTATAGTGATTCAACGCAAAATCGCAAAACGAAAACAATAGTCCTTCAGGGAAAAAGCCTCTTTGGACTAAAAAAAAGGAAAGGAGTGAGTAGAATGTCAGACGACAGAAACATCAACATTCAGAAAAAGCGACTTAACATACATGGTAAAATAAGTTTCAAAAAATCTATTTCCGAAAGATGAAGAATTGTTTAGATATAAATAAATACATGTTCTGAACTATCAGTTCTTCATAGCCCGCAAATTCATAGCATCGTACAGGAAAAAGAAACCACACTGAAACAAAGGTAAAATAATTCCAAAATTAACTATTATAACAAGCCGATTGTTGTATAAATGCATAATAAATGCGAATGAACAAATGTTGAAAATACTACAACAAGAAGAATAGAGTAAATTGCATACATTTGCAGGATTAGTTTCGAAGGGTAATTAGAACTTACTTCTTTAGCTGCAGAAGTGAAAATGATGCAGGAGAAGTAGGTTCTCACGCGATAACAAGACAAAGAGGTTTCGAGAAAGTTTCAGTTAAGAAAGGAACAAAGTTACTGGCACCATCTACTGACAAAAAACGCAAACAACTACAAATCAAAGCCCACAAATTCACTGCTGCTGCTAATTCACTGCTGAATTAGAAGCTGAAGGTAAGGTGGATTAGAATTGGAATCATTAACTATAATTGAAAGACTTTTATTAATGTAGAAACGCCCATTAGGAAATTCAGTTTGCCAATGGAAGATGTTTTTTGAATAATTTTGAGTACAGAAAAATGAAAAATGTGATTATCTGACTAGTAGTATTGGGCACCAAGGGATTTATGTTTTTTTTTTTTTTTTTTTTTTTTTTTTTTGTCTTATGCTCCTTAGTCCGAAATTTGAATATTCTTTTAGTTTGAATAATGTATATTAACCAAGGCTGTGGAGTTGGGCAGATTTTGTGGTAAAAGGAGTCGGAGCTGAAGTCGCTAAAAACAGGTCGACTCCGACTCCAGTTTTCGTTGGACAGTTTGAATTTGAAATGAAATTAAAATGAATTGAAAAAAATTACTGACAAGCTGAGTTATTATTTTTAATTATAAACTGTATACATTAATAAATAGTTATTTTCCATTTTATTGACCTATTATTAAATAAATATATAAGGGAGGAGGACGGATGTGATATTTACCATCACTGATTAAAATGATTCATTTGGTTACAAATCTCACTGGTAAATTTCGGTAAGCAGCAATAGCAGCAAGAACTCCTAAAATTGATGCTATTCTTAGGAAGCGAGCAGGAAAAGGAGCAATTATTGATCAAGCAATGCGATGAGGAAGTACATTTTGATGATAAAGAGGTTTTTAGAATTAAGAACTTTTTTATGAGATGTAGATAACCCTAATGTTTCATTAACAGAAAAGACTGTGAAATGATCTTGCGGAATTGGAACCTCTTCTTTCTATACCGTATATAGCCACAAAAAAGCTGCAGTCTGAAGAATTGACAGGAGGTGAGAATAATGTGATGTTTGTTCTTTCTGAAATGGAAGGTTTATTGCATCAATATATGGAGATCCGAAACACCTAATTTTCTAGGATGACGAACAAATTAAAAAGGCAAACAACGTCATCTATGAACTTTCATTAAGAATGAAATTATTCTCAGAACAATTGGAGAATTCGAATCAGGACAGTCAAACTGCAGACATTGCAATTGAGTCTCTATCATCCTTTTCCATTGATGAATTAGATTTTGAGAAATATTTTTGGATAGTATTGAAAAGGCTAAAGCAAAGCAATGAAAATAAATAAATAAATAAAAATAATAAAATAAAATAAAAGAGCCTTTAGATATAAAAATAAAAAAATAGAAATAAGATTTCTACACGGCCTTTGAAGATATAGAGAAATATGATTGCGCAAGACACCTTTTTTTTAGAACTTATAAAAAATCTATCCTGAAAAGTTAAAAGAAGTAGCCCCAACAGTAAGAGCTCTTTCTTCTACTCAAGTTAGTATGGAAAGACTCTTCTCAGCTCTGAAATTTATCAAATTGGATCTATGGCCCTCCAACAAAGAAAATCTTGCCGAAGCTATACTGTTTCTTAGAAATAACTAATGTCAGTTTTTCCATTTCATAATAAATGCTAATTAATATAAATAATTTGCTATGCCATCAATTTTTTTCTGTAGCATCTATTACTTCTTTTATATTAAAAAAAATAAGCTGTAACCCATGTGTATATGTTTACATATATAGAGAGGGAGTCGGCCATTTTCCCTACCGACTCCACAGCCGTGATATTAAACCACGTTAACAAGGAATAGTATACAAATTCATATCCGGAACAGAACTGAATAATGTAGCATTAATTAAAGAACTGCCAATTTTATTGCTAGGGTAAAAACGACACAAAAGTCAAAATTCTATAAACAAGTGCAATTTTATAGCTAATTGATGAAAAGAAAACAATGACTATTGAATTCTTACAATCTTTCAAAACTACAGAATGCTTTCTATTAAATTGACATGGAAATTCTTTTAGGTGCTTGGTCAATAATACTAGGTGAAAAGTCTCTGTTATTTGCAACTCTCTTAAGAGTTCTTTCTATATGAAATCCAACTTGAAGAAGCAAACTTAAAGTATACAGAAAACGAAGGAATAAAATGAAACCAACTTCTCCTTTATTGAATGACAGAATCTGAAGTATGGTGGAAGATAAACAGATTAAGGTTTAACCAGGTAATTATTGGATTGGGTTTAAATCTGTGCTTATTTTTCTTTGCATTTTCTGCCCGAAAATTTTTCGAAAATTCCCGATATTTGGATACCTACGCCGGTGAGATTTATGGGCCTATTTCGCATTAAATTGAACTTAATCTACCAGCTACTTAAATTTAAATTTATATTTCATTCTTCATTTAAATTATCTCGCAGTAAGTGATGGCTGAGCTTGTAAGTACCATGTGTGCCTTCTGTTTTTCTCAGTTTAAAATTAAAGGGTCTTTTACATCCTACTCAAATTTCAGTTGATATTTTAGACTTCGCTGTCAGTCTAAGTTTCGTTACAATTCATGATAGCCAAGAGGATTATCAAACTTTATTGAATTTCTTATGTTGTGTTATTGGCTAGCAAAGTTGAAAATCTAAAAGCTGAATATTTAGTTAACGGGTATAAAGCAGCGTCTAAATTTGATACAATGAGATGGAATGGAATACCATTTTTATGAAATCTGACGTAACAATCCGTAACAAGTGAGATAAGCGATTTTTGTAAGTGAATCGATAAGACTTGTGAAGATTTCATCGCGGTTTTTATTTTCAACAGGTTCGAAGATGAAGGATCTTCAGGGATCAAATTATATGGGGCACTTCCGCGACGTAAATCTTTTCATTCATGACGACTATCAAATCACCTTTGTCGGCCTTCAAATGATAATATCTGGGTTAAAATGAATTTCGAACAAAGTACCTTTTTTCTCTTGCGTTTAAATTAGGATTTATACGTTCATAGTTAAATTTCACATAATGGACAATAAGATGCCTAATTACTTCTTTCTATGTTTCTGAAGCTTTACGAAACTTGGGAACTTTAATACGGAGGCAAAATTTTTGAGATTTGTGAGAAATTAAAATTATGTATGAGAATTCTCTTTTGTCCTTAAGATGAACTAACATTAGAAATATTGCTATCGGACTGATATTTACAGTGGGATAAATTTTTGGAATATTTAAATCAGAAGACTGCGAAAGGTGGTGTAATTATTTTTATCTGTATTTTATTACTAAACGCTTTTTATTCACCCCAGTAATCCACGAGATAATATTTTTATCACTTCAAAGCGCTGCTTCAATACGCTATATAAGAGAGAATCCCAATAACTGAGACGAAGTGAATTAATTTCCTGTAACATTCTCACGTTACTTATAAACTTCAAATTAACAAGAAAAAACACGGATCATCACTGAATATTTATTGAAGTGTATTTTACTCAGCCAATTAATGAACTTATTTACATAATGAGCAGTTAATGAAACACGGATAACATAAAACTGGAATACGGTTTGACTAATTTGATCATGTCAAATCACATTAGGGAGCATCTGCCTAAAGGAACAGATGCCATCGCGGAGGACTTTTCAAAGTAAATTGCTTCGTATCCACGTTACATATGCGGAAAACCAGGGAAACACCCATGTAGCCAGTCCATTCACCTGGAATGGAACCCAGAACGAACGACCCCTGTACAGCGACTTTTCCGCTCGGCAGCTGATGGGCTGCGAAATTCAGGCGAAAGATGACAGATCAAAGCTGACCTAACAAAAAAATATTACAAATAATAAAAAAAAATTATACAAATACATAATATAACATGTTTTTCTCACAAAACAAAAATGAATGCTGGACATTTTTACAGCCAAAAGTAAAAACTATTCATCCGTTCCAGTCTGCTCGCACTAATAATTATTAACACTTGTACGTATTTAAAATTTACTTATCTTAAAGGTGAGGAATCTTAAAGAAAGGTGAAATCTGTCCTTTTTTATTTACTTTCTTAAGTCAATACTTTATATAGGAAAATATGATACAATCTTAATTATAGGAAATTTACCATAAAACAGTCTTTAAATGGTTACTAGCATCAAGCAACTAGTGATCTCAATCAATTCTCCAATCGTATCGGTTAATCGAACTGAGATATTTAACTTACTGGGGGACAAAATCTCCCAGACGAAACGCGTCGACTGTAGGGGTTAAGAAACTGATTTTAAATACGTCGAGACAAATTTAATGCTATATGAAAGAATCAAAAATAAAATCTGCATTCGTATTTGTTAAAATTACAGTATTCAACTACCAAATTTCCACAAACCTTGCTGTCTTCTTCGAGATGAGAATCTCTTAAATATCTTGTTACAGTCTAATAGGTTTCCGGAATTTGGAGTCTGATGTAAATGGTGATGATGTTGAATCCAGTGCTATGGAATAGTAGTCATAGTCGCTGGATATAGTTCTTTATTTTAAGGTATAGTATTCAAGTAATCCCTCATATGCAATAATAAATTTAAAATGGTGCTCACGTACATAATGATGGTTTTTTTCTTGAATGACAGGCAGTCGTAGATATCGCAGAGATCATCTTTATTTAGGCATAAATTACGTACTGAAGCAATACAACCGCTAAGACAGGTGCACCCGATCTTCAACATTCAAGCATAAATTAAAGGTATTGACTATATTATAGCTGCCAAAAGAAAAAGTAGAAAATATTACGTTACTGGTAGAAACTATTGCATCACTTATTCTTAATCTTAGATTAAGAATGATGATATTTCTTCAGTGCTCCACAGAAAGCCAAAGCATTGCTTTAACTATTATTAGTTTTTAAAAGTTTCGACTTGATTATGAATAGATAAAAGATTCTACTTCCATTTCCGAAATTATGCTCGACATAAGACTTATGTAACGGGATTTAACTGAAACGACGCAGTTCAGAAGGATTTATTACAAGCAGTGCCCGGATTTTGATGACCAAAAATTCACTAAAAATGTCCGGAAAATATACTTAAAAATGGGGAAAAAGTCCTTAAAAATTTAAATTAAATAAATAAAAATTTTAAAAATTCCTAAAAACGATACAATTCACATACATTGACATATCGATTAAAACCCAAACAATTACATATACCGGCCATTTGCATTTTATTTTTTCTTTCAAATTTTCAACTTTCTACGAATGTATCACAATTGCAATGAAATATGAAGTGCTTATTGATGTTTTAGAAAGACCTTCTTATCGTATGATAAAGTTTTTTATATCATTTATTTTTGTCTGATTACTAAAATATGCCTCAAAATACTCTAAAATGACACCTGCCCCCTTCCCTGAAAAAAAAAAAAAAAAAAAAAAAAAAAAAAAAAAAAAAAAAAAAAAAAAAAAGTCCCAAAAAGTGCCAAAAATACTTTTAAAACTTAAAAAATAATGTAAAAGAGGGAAATACACACAAAAAAAATTGTATATGTGATCAATATCCAAGCTATGATAATGATAATAAGCATTTTATTATTTTTAGAACAGAAAGCGAAGATGATTAAACTGAGTCTATTAAGATTCACAGCTAAAATTTTATCTTACGGATGTTTTATCCCCCCCCCCCGCCAAAAAGAAACGTGAAACTAAATTCTGAATTTGCCAAAGAAAATGTGAAACTAAATTCTGAATTTGCCAAAGAAAATGTGAAAGTTTTTGCAATTACTTTAATACGACAAATTAATAATAATACTATTCAATAAAATATCCTATTATCAATTTATGCTAAATTATATAGTCACTATATACTTTTTACTAAAAATTGGGTATTAAAATTAAACCACAAAAAATAGCGCAATAGCTTTAAGAAAGAATTTAAAGGTTAAGCAGTACAAGCTTCCTTTCAGTAGTTTTAATAATGAAAAATGAAAGAAATGCTACGAACTCTTGTGTTTATTACAAATCCAGTTTACTTGACTGACCCTCAGTCTCTTGGGAAACCAAAACGATGCAAAAGAAGGAAAAGATGCAAATAAACATTGCGCCTATAGCGTCTAGTCCAAAACGACCATGAAAAAGGGGGGAGGGAGATGGACGATCGATACACCCAGTCTGAACTACAAGATCCATATTTCGTTAGAGATTTAGAAATTCCTGCAATGGAGTGAGTTACTCGATAAACTAAACACTACTTAAAACACAAACTATGACCATGACCTACAATTTTTCGAAATTGGCATTTGATTAAAAGATTAGCTGTTGATTTTTCAAGCATTGTCACTTTAAACTAACTCCTCCTCCCCAATAAAAAAAAAAAAAAAAAAAAAAAAAAAATGAACAGCCATTACAGTAGCCTACCTGCCCATGTAAAAACATGTGAAATATCATTAAACAGAAATAACGACAAAGCAATATTAATATTCTCAAAGCTGTCTAACAAGCGACCATTCATAACCGTCTAACAGTAACAGTAGTCGTACGATAATGCAATAAAAAAGTATATTTTGTTTAAATATACGTAGGATTTACAGCATTACTAAATTAAATATCACACTTAAAAACAGCAGTTATTTTTAAGTTAATAAATAACATCAATTTTTTAAAAACATATTTTAGTTTCTGCCTTATGTACATATTTTTTACCTTAAATGTAACAGTAATTACTTGAATTAGTCATTCATATATTAATGAACAGCCACTATCTAAAGTTTTATTTTATAAGGTCGCTTTTATCTAAAATTCATTCAAGTAACTGCGTTTTATATAATACACCTTTTGCTGCATTAAAAATTGAATTCTATAATTAGCAAATTTGCTAATGCTTATGCAAAAGTTCTTTATTATTAATGAAAAATTATCATCAAGATTAAACCTGTCGAAAAGTGGACATGCGTGTTAAGAAAAACAAACATGAAGTCATTAAAATGCACAGTACGTATTACATGAAAATCAGATACACACTAGCGAGCTTCTTTTCTGTATAAATAAGAGTTTTCTTAATTTTTTTAAACAAATGGTTTACTCGTCACCACTCGTTTAAATATCAGAACTCGCTAAATTTTTTAATTAGATGAAACAGCAACTTTATACTAATAACAGTATCGCTTTTGCTAGTCTCGTGTCAGCCGAAATAGAATCAGGTCATAGCAGTCAGATCTTCTTATGAATTATACCAAAGGCTCGTTATCAAAAGAAGGATAATGCACACAATGCCGAGTGAAAATTAGGTTTGTATGAATGAAATGAAAAATAAGTACAAGCTTCTTGTGCCCCCCCCCGGAAAAAAGGTAGCGGTAAATTAAAAAAAAAAAAAAAAGTATATTCGTACCATCATCAAAGATAGGAAAAAGCAAGCCCCGAACCCGCAATACAAGTTCCTAGTATAAAAACTGAGTTTTTTGCTTGAGCGTGTACCTACCTACCTTGCGGGTAAGCATCGTTTTCACACTTCACCTTCAGGAAACTGAAGAAGCATCTGAGCTACTCTGAAACTAGCCATAATATTTTCTGTAAATATTTTTTTAATCCATCACTATTTTCTCGAACCAATCTATTGCTTTAGATTATTCTGTAAAAATTCTCAACCATATATCATTTATGGTTGATTATTAAGGTTTATTACTACTAACAAACTTGAGAATTTTCCTTTAAATAATTTAAAAAGCTATTTATTCTATTAGAGTATGCATTTTTTTATTTAATCTGAAATTCTTATTAAGATTAGCCTGTTTGACTTTTTTTTTCCCATCAAGAATTTTTGAAAGTGCAATGATTTAAAAACCGTGATATAAACTGGACGTTTGAAACGAGATGCCTGAAACTGACGCGTCAAGCGTCAGAAAGTTGAAGTTAAGTCAACTCACGCGGTCTTCGGTCATCCGGCAAATGCCGCCTCTGAGCTCGCTTCTGATTGGTTAACACTTTACCACGTTACTTCTGATTGGTTAACGCTTTACCACGCTTTACCAACGTTACCACGTTGGTGTGAACGCAGCTTAAGAAATACGCGTGGCGCTCAACGTGTTGAGAATGGGACAATTGTTAATGCCCGTCTGACTAAAACAACTCTCAACATAACCCCAGGATCTGTGTTTCCGAGCTAAGGTATCGACATCATAACAGCAAACACGATGACAGGAACCAGAATGCAAGAATGGATTTAAATCTCATCATATCACTATAAGTTTACAATAAAGCATCTACAAAACACAATCTCGGACAAATGGGAAAGCTAAGTGAAAGAAATCGACGATAAGTAAAGCGAACTATAACAACAAAATAGAAGAAAACTACAAGAATTATACTGAAACCAACCATATACATCCCATTATGCAAATACTGTTTTCTCCAGGAGATGGCATTTCCTAGGATGATAATTCTCTCTTATTTTTGCAGCTATATTTGTCCAGTCATACACAGCATGAAGAGTAGGAAGACGCAACTACTTCAAGATTTTCTTCAGGCCCTATTCTAACCCTAAAACGGATAGCAAATGACAAGAATTATGTTGCCACCAACCAAGATTGTTCCATTATGCAAATACTGTTTCCTTCAGGAGATGGCATTTCCTAAAATGAAATTCTCTTACCTTTGCAACTATATTTGTCCAGCCATAGCATTGAGGGGCTATCACGATTTTCTTCAGGCCCTATTCTAACCCTAAAACGGATAGTAAATGGCAAGAAATTTGTCGTAATCAAACATATTCATCCCATTTCCTGCAGAAGAAGGCATTTTCTAGGATGATAATTATCCTATTCATGCAGCTATACTTGTTTACTCATA